TATGGTTTGCCATTAAATGGTTGAAGGCACAAGTGTTGCTGGCGCAACCCTTCAGTCCCACCAGGGCGCTTGGTCCCACACTGATGGGATGCCGGAATCGTTTAGCTAGAGCTTTGGGTGACATTATAGCCACGACCACTTCCCCTTGCTGATCTACCCTCTAGGAGCTTGGCATAGGGACACGCTGCTGGCAGCAGCTGTTTCTTCGGGACACCCATCGCACGGTCTTCCAGGCCATGCCACTCGCTGACACTAACCTAGCCCCGTCGACTGGCCTTGCATGTGGCAGGCAGCCCCAACCTTTTCTCCTACACGTTTGTTAAAACGGCAAACCAGTCCCCCAAGGATAATGACCGTTGAAGCCTGGAACCAGGCTGCTTGTTTCCCAGAAAAAATTGGGTGACTACGAAGGAATGCGAAGCACTTTAGCTGTGGTTACTATCTGTAGAAGGTTTGCGATATTGGTGGCCAAAATATTCTCTTTAGCTTGTTGTTTGATGATCACATCTAACGCTGCCAGGTATGTTAACATACAGAAACAACTTGTGTAAAGTAACAACTGGGGATTAATGCTGAAAAGGAAATCACTTCCGCCATGAAGGGAAATATTTGCATCGCTTGCCTTTTAATCCTCCTCGTTAAGTTCATTATTTTTCCTGGAATGATTTTGGTTTTATGGATAGCGTTGTGGATAAAATTGTTGCGATCTGTCTTTTGTTTGATGGTAGAAATCAATTTGAATCTCTGTCCAGATTAGAGTTTAAGACGCGTTTAGGTATGATCATGTGAAGGTTTGCTTTATGAATTGACTCCTGTGTTTGTGGAAGCAACAACTGACTCATTTTTATCTTAATAATATACGGTGGAACCCGGTTAACATGGTCACAACGGGCCATGAAAAATTGGCCTTATTAACAGGGTGGCCGTATTAAAAGGGTAGGGTCAGATTTCATGACTGGTCTAAACTGAGTGAAGTCTTGACAGATATATATATCTGTTTTGAGTTTTCAACTTGAGAGCAAGTGCAAGGGGCTTCCATATGCAAATGCGCGTTATAACCACCAAATAACATGAAATACAAGCTCCAAGAGGCGCGTTTGCTGCAAAAATTTCCCCTGGCGGTTTCGTCCATTTATGGAATTACAACACCTTTCTGGTTTATTAACTTAATTTGAAAATACGTTTTTTTCTAAATAACTCGGCTGCTTTTTGAGATTTTTAATATTTTACTTTTGTAAACATTTGATAAAAATGTCTGGTTTGAATTTTGTCAAATAAAAGAAAAAATGATTTGTTGTGCACTTGAAGGTGGGAAGTAACCTTAAAAGGGGTTTCTTATAAGAAAAATAATGTATGGGCTTTTTGCCAGGACAAAAGAAGCCTTAATAACAGGGTGACTCAGTATTAACGAGGTGACCATAAGGCAGGGTTTCACTGTACATGCAAAAATCTCAGCATGCTGATTGGCAATTAATTTAATAATGATATTTAATAATTAATTTTATTATATCTCTCAATTACTACGCACGCTGTGATTGGTCAATTTAGTGGGCCATATTCTTCTTTCATCATTAGTTTTGCTTCTCCGTATGGAGAGTGATAGCAGAAATTTTGCTTCTTCAAGACACTCTGTCAGCCACCACCAGCCCTGCCTCTACCCAAGAACAGTAACCCATCGCCATTCACTCTTTCTCCACTGTCCTATGCCATGTTTCTCTGGGTCTTCTTCAGTTGCGTTTTCCTTCCAGTGCTCATGTCAGTGCAACTCATGTCTGATCCATGTCCATCTCCTCCTTAATGTTCACTGATAGTTTCCTTGTTAGCTCTCTTGCGCACCTCTTCATTTGACACTTGCAAAGCCTACACAGGCACTTGTGCTGGAAAGTTCTATTTTGGCTTCATCTCCCTTTGTCATCCTCCATGATTCACATCCATACATATACAGCATTACAGCTATTGCATTGGACTTGAATATCCTTATCTCAGTACTCTTACCTAGTTGGCTGCTTCTCCAGATATTCATCAGTTTACCAAATGTTGCTCTTGCTTCACCCAGCCTCATATGATATATGTCATCGTCTGCTCCACCAGAGGTAGTAACTTTGGCTCCCAAATAGACAAAACTGTCTACGTCTTCAAGTTCTTCAATCTCCATTTTCCATACCTTTCTGGTCATTTTCAGTGCTGCACCTCGTAACTTTCCTTTTGGCAATGTTAATCTTTAGACCCATTCCTTGGCTGGTATTAAATAAGCAATTGTTCTTCACATAGGTGTACGGCACCTTCAGACTTGGGGTGGGGGTGACCTTATTGCCCGAAAAAATTAGACAATGTCCAAAAGCGTGTGTTGTACAAACCCACTGAAATCACATTAACAACAAAAACGTTCACAATTCTCACGTCTAATGAAACTATTATCATTCAAAAGTACAGTGGAATTCCGATTTTTTGAACCTTCAAGGGAAACGAAAATCGGCTTGAAAAATCTGATAGTTCGAATCTGGGGTAAAATTACAGTGTTTGACTGAGGACAGGAAAACGACTTTTGTTTCGAGTTATTGAGAGGTTCGAAAAATGAGGGTTCAAGGAAGCGGGATTCCACTGTAGTTATTTTGAAACATGGCATACCTCGATCAACAGCTTGGTAAAATCAGAAACTAATAAAGGAACAGTTCATTGTTCCTCATATGAGAAGTTCAAGAAAATTTTAAAACAGCTCTTTGTGGAGCCATTCCAAAGGGCTCTTTTCAGAGCCACCACAAAAGCAAAAGTCTTGGTCTTTGTTTGCTTTGATTCTTTTGTCATTGTTTTGTTGATGGAACTAAAATCCATCTCGTGGATTTCCACTATGCACATTTAAATGATCTATGGCTTTTTCAGTGAACAGATTTCCTGGATCCTTAGATAATTTGACCTTGACTCCGTTTTGACAAGGCAAATGTCAGAGGAATTAGCCCACAAGCCTGGCTTTGACTACCTTTTAGAGTATTTTCTCCCGAGTACTTTTGCCCGAATCCTCAGTATTTTTCCCAAAAAATTGCACCAATTTTTGTAACTGGGGGGGCTGCAGTCCTCCCCCCCACCCCCCCGCCCGTACGCCTATGGTTCTTCAACTGGAGCTGCCTTCTTGTACTTGATAATAGTGCAAGATCATCAGCAAAATCGAGGTCTTCTAACTTCTGAGTAAACCTCCACCTTATCCCAGTATTTCCTTCCTCAAGCACCTTCCTCTTCACCGAATCAATGACAAGCAAAACAAGAAAATTAAAGAAATCCTGACATTATGCCACCTTGCTGGAAAGCTGACTTATTGTCAAACCAGTCAGCCTTTCTTCCCCCATCGACTAATGCACACTGGCTTCCTCTGTGCATTGCCTGTACTGTCCTAATAATTTTGGGTGGAATACCATGTATTAACCTCATGATCCTCCACAAGGTCTCCCTGTGGACACTGTGGAAAGCTTTTTCATAGTCAATGAGGCAAGTAATTATACAGGCTTGCATTCCATTTAACTGACTGCTCAATAATGTTTCTTAAAACAAATATCTATATCTATAGTTTTTTTATCAACTCCTCTGGATGTTAATTCTCTGCTGCTGCTAATCACCTTAGCAGCAGCAGGCATCAATGTAATTCCTCTCCAGTTGCCACAGTTGGTCAGATCTCCCTTCTTGGGCAGTTTAACTATGAGACCTTTACTGCAATCTTCTGGTATTCCCTCTTCTTCCCAGATTAATCTAAAGGTATCATGCAAGGCATTGACTGTCGTATCAATATTAGCTTTCATCATCTCTACTGTAATGTTGTCAATACCAGTTGCTTTACCATTTTTCATGTCCTTGATCGCATTCTTGATTTCTAGCTTAGTGACTGGTTCGTCTTCAATCTCTTCACTGTTGTGATCATCATCATCATCATCATCATCCATGATCTTGACTGTATTTACTGGGTCAGGTCTATTTAAAACCTCCATGAGGTGTTCTTGCCATCTTTTGTGTACCTCATGTGCTTTGGTTATTAATAATTTACCTCGATCCCTTACTCTTTACCATGTCAACTAGTTTCGGCCTGGGCATTGCACAATTTTCTTGTAGCCTCATAGACTCCCTTCCTTTGTCCGTGCCTTGCTGCATCTTCTGCTTCCTGAGCGATATTATTTGCCCATCCTCTCTTATCATTCCTGAAACTGCATGGACTTTATGTCTTTGTTTAACCTTTGGTACTCTGCTTTCTTCTGTGCCTTTTGCCTGCTTGATTTTACGTCATTGACCTTTCCCTTCATTGCTCTTCTATCCTCAACCTTCTTCCAGCTGTTCAC